AAAAAGTTTTTCCATAGGGGGTGAAACAGGATTATAAAGGAGGGGGGTGGGTACAGGCGGAACCAATCGGGAAAGGTGAGGGGATGAACTTCACAGAACTGACACTCCATGGAGACCAATAATCAAAAGGTAAAGGAGGTGTCCTGGGACCCCAGCCAGCCACCATCTCCAGAGAGGAGAAGGTTCTCGAAACCTGGGAGGAGAAAGGGGGTGATTGACTGGACCTAGGGAGGAAACAACTTTCACTGATAAGGGAAACCAGGGGAGGAGCAACTGTTACATATCGGCAACTATGAATAGCGGTTACTATGGCAACTTAGCTGACAGGCTAGCAGTGGCGGGAAAAACTGGGGGAACAAAACCATTTTACACATAATAGGGGAGAACAATACATAAATTGGGGGAATAACACAAGAAACTTAACAACAGACTACAACATCCTCCCACAGTGTACCCTGTGTTCATGTCTACTGTTGTTCCTCCTCCTTCCTTGCGTCATATTTGAGAGTGGCTGTTCCTAAAATCAGGTTTTGGTGTCTGTTTGATTAAAAAAACTCTGCCTGATGTCTCCTTGTGGCTTCAGAAGAGCCTGGGGCAGTGCTCCTGCAAGGGGCAGATTGTTATGTCCTAACTACCATATAGAAACTGAGTATTTTTTGTGTTCACACCCCAAATTTTCAATATTTTGGCACAGTATCATCCTCACATGAGGAAACAAACATTAACAGCAGGAAATGCAATTAGAGCAAGAGCAAAGCTCACAGCATTTACACTGCTGTCTATTCTCAGTGTCCATGAGAAAGTCAAAGAGCAGTGATTTTTAGGAGTGTGTTATGGACGAGTTTTTACCTGATTATTCCTCCAGGTTTGCTTTATTAGTAATTCAAGCTGAAAGCTGCAAATCCAAGTAGAAGCAGTTGGTGAGATTTTAAACCTTTTTCCATAGATCACAGCGAATCCGTTTCCTTTATACCAGGAACTGTGAGTAAATAAACACAGCACAGCAAGATGTTAAACTTCAGATGCTTTAAATCTTAAAGGATCACAGCAAGAAGTGTATTTTTAAATGCTCAGACATTTAAAGGGGGTGGCTTGGAGGGACTAATATTAGGACTGGATGCTGAGGCTCCTGGAACTCTGGATTTGGCTTTGCACTTCGCCCTTTAGGGTGGATATTCCAGAGTTATTTTTGTGTTTGGGGATATGTCAGAGAAGGAGATCAGGGCTGCACTGAGACAACTTGATGCTCTCAGAGCTCTGCCCACCCTGTTTATACCACTTGGGTTGGTTTGTGGATCTCACCAAGCTGGGTGGGAATGCTGGGGAGGCTCCACGGGGGGATCTGGACAGGCTGGGAAGATACAACAAGGCCAGATTGTAACTTTACAAGTCCTTGTGTTGTTTCAATGAATCTTAACTTGCTTTTGACACTGTGGTGCTAAAGGACATTTGAAATTGTTACTTCTCAAAGAGAGTCTGTTACTCTTCAAAGAGTGTTGATTTTATCTGTTACTCTTCAGAGTATCCATTGAGCATTTCTATCCCTAGAACAGTAAGGTCACAGAAGTCCAAGGAGTGTGCAGTTGTTACCCCAAGAACAGACACTTAACCAGGAAAGTCTTAATGGTTCCTTCATGTTTTTTCACCTGCAGTCTGAAAATAAAGTGATAATTCATGTCAACAATGAGCAGAGTAAGAACTGCCTGAACAACAGGGGGCTGACAGTTTTTGCTGTGGAAGTGGCTCCAAAATCCATGATGGTAAGGCTTTTTATTGCTTAGCTAACTTTGGAGAAAATCAGGTGACATCTTTATATTTTCTGTTTGTAGGGCTTTTATCATGATAATGAGCATTTGGACAGTGGCATCTTCTGACCAGATCAGATGCACTTTTTATTATTTCAAAGCTGATCGTGTATTTAATGTATCTCTGTTTTCCTATGCAATTTTATATAAAAATCAATAATCCACTTTTTCATACATGGGCATGTTTCACTTGTCCATTCTATACATTCACTAATATTTTTAATACTCTTTTTCTAAGGCTGTATTTAATTTTTTTTTCACTTTGCAATTTTAACCCCATGTATTGATGCCTGTGAGAACAGAGCAAGCATGCACTAATCAGAATGAGAAATAAATATATTACAGTCCTTGTGCAGACTGTGCTTTGCTGGTGGTTCACTTTTGTTAAACTTGATTTGGGGATCATGTTAACCATGAGATAATTTGAGATTGCTGAACTCTGCTGCAGAGCTGGGCAGGCTTTAGTGACAATTCCAAATGAGGGTCCTGAAGGAATGTGATGCATGACAAATGCAGATGATGTTTTATAATTATTTATGAATAACCCCCTGGTTTTCTTTTTCTGAAAGTTTCTTTGTTTAAAAGCAGAGGCATCCAAGCTATTTTACATTTCCCAGCTTTCCAGGGTGGATCATTCAAGCCTGTAGTAAACAGAGCAGTCCCATGACATGGCAAGGCTGGGCCCTATTTAAATTGCTGCTGACACTTTGGATACCCACTGCCACATCCTGTAAGGTGGTTTTAAATTTGAATTTAGGCTTCATTCAGTATAAACTGTAGGCTCAATCCTTATGGATATTTTGCTGTGAAGTTCAAGAGTAATTTTTGAATATCTGTCAGTGTAGATGCTGAATATTCATTATTTAGTGACACAAGTACTGGACATTTTGCTTCCACAGCACATAGGGAATTCTCTTTATTGAAAAACTGTTACCCATTCACCTCTGCTTTCTCTTGTGCCAGGTCTCTCAGCATGTGATGGCCCTGAATGAGCAGGAAGAGTGGATTTACAGCTGTGTGCACTCCCTTGTGTGTTAAAGCTGCCAGTGCCAGGGCTGGCAGCAGCCACACTCAGCCAGGATCAGCTTTGGGCAGCTTTCAGACAATTTATGGTCCTGTCCTTCTCAAAAAGCTGGCATACATTTAGATTTCTTGATGATTTTGGCATGAAAACGCTGAGGCACAATAAAAATTGGTGTTGTTCAGTAATCCAGCTGCCAGTTGTGATATAATTGTGCTTTATGAAAGATTGTTTCCCTAAATGTGCCCTTCTTTTCCATACCATGGATTGTAATTTCCTCACAGGCTGGAACTGCTTCACTGAGGGAAAAAAAAACTTTTTTGAATGGGTTCCTAATTAAACATTCCTGTGATTTTGATGTGAAAGTATAAAGGGATGAAGCTCATGGTATTTTGTCACTTGATAAAGGATTTGTTTCTTTCCCTTTTTTTTGGTCAATTGCTGATAATCCTTATCTTACCCTTGTTCTGTAATTTCTGCCTGGTTTTATACTCTTTTACATAAAATAAAATAAAATCTGCCTTTCCATATGCAATAAGGAAATAACATCATTTGAGGAAAATGAAGGTTTGTCTTGGGCTCTTGACTGTTAACAGCAATTAATTATTCCCAGGGCAGCTGAAATAAGAAGACTGAAGTGCACCAAGTTTGGGCTGCAACAGCAATGAAAGCCATCCTTGAGGTACTAAAAACATTCAGTATTATATTTCATTATATTTTCCTGGTTCCTCTAAATATCTTTAATGTGAAAAAAAAGAAGATGACCCTGGCCTCTGGATGCTTAAAAAGTGTTTGAGTTTAAAATAGCCATTAAATGTGTGTGACCTCATGTGTGAGGGCAGCAAGCAGTGGTGCAGAGTTATTTTTATCTGCCCCAAGTGCTGCTCTCTGCTGTTACTCTGCTGTAATCTTACACTGGGCAAGTAAATGTCAGTGGCAAAATGAGAGCTGGGCTCTGGTGTACACAGACAGGATTCCTGGTGAGCTCTGAGTTTTCTGTGGTTTTTCCTTAGCAAGTACCACAGGTATCATTTCCATTTTCAGAACTGTCTAAAAGAAGTTGAGGCCCCAAAAATGCTCGGTGATTTTTAGCTCTGACTGAGCTCTGTAAATGCAGCCTCAGGCAAAATGTGGGTAAAGCAGAAATTCCCTTGTCTAAAAAGGAGCTGGGAAATTGAGATACTATGTGGAACAGACACCACAAAGTGAGCAGTCCATGATTTACATTTCTTTTGTTTGTAAAATCAGCCTTTTTAGATGTGGCAGGAATTCACATGCAACTCTCTCTGCATTTTAGGAAAGGAATGGTTAAAGCTGAAAGAAGGGCTTAGCTGAGAAATGACTGCACGTGGAAGGAGTTGGGTTGGCTGCAGGTAAAAAACATGGTACAGCACTGCACAGGGAACCTCATTGATTGTCTGATCCCCCTGCTGCCAGGAAGGGTTTCATTATCCAGTTTTTAAAGTGAGGACTTAGAAACTGCCATGGAGACTTTCAGGAGGTGTTTTCAGTTTGATTCAAATCCAGCAACCACCAAGACAGAAAAAAATCCAGCTTCTCTTTTTAAGGTTCAACACAGGTACCAGCTTATTTTCTTTGAGAGGAGACATTTAGGAGCAAATATCTTTGTATCAGGTAATTTCAATTTCTGGAATGTTGCATTTCTTTTGAGAACTAGAGCTATAACAAAATTGAGCTTCTTCAAGGCTTTGTTAACAGTGACCTTCGGTGCTGCTGGAGCTCTGGGGGGCTCCTGCTTCTCTGGGGTGCTCACTTGAGCCAGGGCCTGTGTGTGAGGCCGGTGGGGACATCGTGCTGCTGGGCACAGGCACAGGCAGGCTCTGGGACAGCTGCGGGTTCACCTGGAGCAAAGGAGGCTCAGCGGGACCTTGTGGTTCTGCACAGCTCCTGACAGGAGGGGACACGCTCTGCTCCCAGGGCACCGGATGAGGAAAAAGGGCTTCTAGGGGAGGTTTAGATTGGATCTCAAGGAAAAATTCTTGATGGAAAATGTCTGATCCTGGCACAGCTGCGCAGGGCAGTGGTGGAGTCCCCATCCCTGCAGGGATTTAAAACCCATGTGGATGTGGCGCTTGGGACATGGCTTAAAGTGTCTGAGGACTGCTGAGGAACGGCTGGACTTGAAAACCTTACAGCCCTTACCTAAACCTAAACCATTGCACGATTCCATGGCTCGGATCGAGCAGAGCACCGGGGCTGTGCCAGGCCAGCGCACGTTCGCTGTCACCCGGGGCGGGAGCGCGGGCGGTGCCTTTAAGGGGCGGTCGCGGGGCCGGGGCGGCCGCGGTTCCCCCGCGGCTCCCGGAACTCCGCCGGCGCCGGCCATGGTGCGGATCGTGACCGTGCACACCAAGCCCTACGGCGACCAGAAGCCGGGCACCAGCGGGCTGCGCAAGCGGGTGACGGTGTTCCAGAGCAATGCCAACTACACCGAGAACTTCATCCAGAGCATTCTGGCCACCGTGCCGCCCGCCGAGCGCCAGGACGCCACGCTCGTGGTGGGAGGCGACGGCCGCTTCTACATGAGAGACGCCATCCAGCTCATCGTGCGCATCGCTGCCGCCAACGGGGTAAGCACGGAGCGGGAGGGAGCTCTCGGTGTAGGGCACCTCTCGGTGTGAGGTCCCTCCGTACACCGGGGTAAGCACCGGGTGCGCTCCCCGCCCGCAGCCGGCGGAAATCGCTGGCGCTCGGCGTGTCCGCGGCGTGGAAGTAACGCGGTGAGTGACAGATGGAGGGGCTGGCGGGGACAGCCCGCTGTCCGGGCAGGAAAACTCCCCCGGCTGCCTCTGCCTGCCTGCGGGAGAGTGTGGACATTGGCCAGGGCGGAGGTGTGGAGCAAACACGACTTTGCTCTGATTCCTTCTTCTTCTGTGGTTGGGGTTTCCAGCTAAAACGCAAACCGGCTGTGAGGCGTTGGGAGGGGGCAGCGTTCCCTTCCACTGCACTGGAATGCGTCTGGCTGCTGGGGGATTCCTCCCTGGGTTCATCCAGCCCAAGGGAACCCCAGCAGGGAGTGTGACACTGATGGGGAGAGATGTGCTGAAATCAAGTTTGCAAAGGGAGGCTTTCCCCCACATTTACTCTTTTCCTAAGGAAAACTGTTGGTGTCCCTTCTCCTGGGACACCAGCGCCAGCAGCAAACATTCTTCCTCACGGACCACAAAGCAGAGAGGGGCTGAGGGTGTTGGTGCTTAGGGTACAACCTCAGAGTTACCTAGTTCAAATTCCCCGGTGCCCTGATGCCTGTAAATATCTGACTTCCTAGGAAAAAAAATAATAATTTGTGATTGCTGCCTTCTGAGGGCATAAAGAAACAAATAACTCATTTGGATTCTTTTTAAGCCATGTAGAAATTTGTCTTTTGTGGTGTGTGGCAGCTGCTCAGCTCTGATTCCATAGCCCAGCATCTCTTGATGCTGTGTGCACCTCTGGAAGTGATGGATAGAGCAGCCTTCCCTGGTGGAAAAGCAGCAGGCGCTGCTTTATTTATTTGTTCTGGGAGGGGTGGGTGTTGGAATATGCAGCATTCCTCCCCGAGTGCACACACAGACAGGATCCCTGTGGATCACTGAATAGGCAGAGTGGGGAACTCATTCCCTGGGATGAGCTGTTGAGTGTGTGCAGTTTTTGGATGTTCACCGGGGCCTGGTGGGCTGTGGCAGCATTCCAGGCACCGACCCCTCCATCATTTACACTTCAGCTCCATCCCAGCAGCAGAGGCCGGGGCTGGAGCCGTGCTGGGGGCTGATGAGGCGTTCTGGAGGGCCGGGAATGTCTCGGATCCTCCCCTGGACCGTGCAGTCCCTCACGTAGGAGCAGAGCTGAGCTCGCTGCCAGAGCTGCAGCAGCGGCTCCCAAGGGCTGCCCTTGCCGGCAGGAATTTGCCTTGGAGCATTTCATCCATGTGAATTCCGAGTGCTGGCACAGAATTGGCTCTAAAGGCAGAAAATGTTTGGGGAAAGGCAGGAAAAATGGGAGGTGGGGGAAGGAAATGTGTGGAAGAATATGTGGGCTGATAAATGAGCTGCAGGTAAAGCCTGGATAAGTAACCAGAGGTACACAGGGCAGAGCCACTGGAAACTTGATTACAGATATTTGCTATATTTTAGCATCTCTGGCCTTAAATAAGGCAGTGCAGGAACTGCATTGCCAAACTCAAGAGCAGCAAAACTCTCTGGTCCCAAGAAAGGATGTGACTAAAACCGGAGGGTTTCTTTAGCAAATGCAAAGCACTGGTTTGAAATAAATTTTGATGTATTTTGGAGTGCTTGAGGGATGTTTGGTTAGTGGGGTTTCTCTGTAATTGCAAATATCAGTTCCCTGGTGGTTACCACAGTGTAGTTCAGTAAGTCTTTTAAAATCCTCTTTCTTCATAGTAAATATGAAGTGACTGGAAGTTCCCTGCCCTTCAAAGAGAAGGATGGACAACTTCATTCATGGTAAGAAAGTGCCCTGCAGAACAGGAACCAGCACATGGAAACTTCTTCCTGCAGCTGTGGGTTTGTCCAGGTGCTGGGACTCAAACATCTCCTGGTGCCAGCAGCCAGGTCTGGGGGGAAATTCAGCAGCCTCATGCTGAGAAAAGCTGAGTAATACTCAGAAAACTGCTGGAAAAGTGCATTTCTGGTCCTGAGGATGAAGATTTCTGGTCCTGAGGATGAGGAGGTCCTTGATGAATGCTTTAAAATCCTGTGGTGTTAAGATCTGGTTGAGTGGTGCTCTCCAGGCACAGGACAGACATGAGGACCTCAACCAGTGATCTTTAGTTTTACAGCATAAAAGGAAAGGATGCTAAAATTAGCTTGAATTTTGTCTCCACCTGGAATGGTTAATATGGAACTAAGTATTTATTTTTAAGTTGCAACGACTCAGTTTGTAGTTATGAGATTAAGGGGTGTTTATCTTATTTTAAAGTTTGCGTTTCTGTGAGCAAACTGAAATTGTTTGCCATTCCCAGCTTGCATCCAGTGAAGTCTGCCAATTTTGTTTTGGCCTGTGTGCCAGCTTTCCTTGGTATTATTCCCACATGGTGAGTCTCACTCTTAAATTCCACAAATCAGATCTTCCCAGGTCCTGCTGGTGCATCACTGATCAGCAGAATTGTGGCTGTGCAATAATTTCATGTCAGAAACTGTAAATCCAGGTGGGATGATAGAACCAGCACCAGGCTGATGCAGTGACATTGTCACCTCCCCAAATTTGCTGTGCCCTTGGTTCCTTCCTAACTGAACACTTTTCCAGAGTTTCCTAACCAGCACTTTTTCCAGCACTTTTTCAAAGCTGCCACTCTCAGGCACGTTGCTGGAAAGGTGTTTGGAGTGCCAGGCTGTGCCTTGCATGTTAAACAGTGCCTGCTTTTGTTTTATAGCTCCAGGACAAACAGGGATTTTATTAGAAATGCTGCTCTCTTCCCCCGGGAAGTTTGGGTTCCTGCCTTGGCTGCTTTAACCTTGCTCTCCCCTCAGTTACCCAGAGAAACCAAGTGCTCAAACCTGTTGCATTTATTTATCACTCTCTCTTTGGTAGCTCCCTTTTAATTTGTGCTGTTCTGCCAGAGCTCCCAGACCAGCTCCCACTGAGATCTTCCCTTTGAGGAAAAGCTTCTGGGATTCAAACCATCAAAATAAAGTGCTCATAAAGAAAGTTCTTCCAAAAAGCAGCCAGGGTGAGATGTGGTGATGCTGGATCCTCCAGGCCTCTAGGAGAAACCTCAATTTCTGACTTTGTTTCTGTTTTTCTCAGAGGCAGAAGGGGAAATTGAGATGTGATAAAGTGAGGAAATAAATACTACTTGTGGCTATTTCCTGGCTGCAGATGATGTGGATTTTAGAAGACAGCAGCCCTCACAGCCTCTTTTTACACCAGCCTAGACTCCTTTGGCCTGTAAAGTTAATTGGCTTATGTCAGTTTAGAGTGGAAGGTGATTAAGTGGTCAGGTTGTCCAGTTTCAGTGGCCCTTTGGAATTTTAAACTCTGCACCCATGGAACTCCAGCTCAGAGCAAAGAGCTAAGGTGCTTTGCAGTTAATCTCAGCAAATCCAGCAGGCAGAGCTGCAATTCATCCTACCAGGGATTTAGCTGTAATCTCCTGGGACAACGTTCTTGAGCAGACACCTGAGCTGGGGCTGGGCTGGCAGGGCAGAAATGCAGAAATGCCTTCCCCTTGTCAGGGCAAAGGCTGGGATAGGAGCTGGGCTGCAGAGCTGCTGTGCAGGGCTTATTCCAAATTTGAGCTCACCAGCATTGAGAAATGCATCCTGTCATGACCCTGAGCTGGCCAAAAATATTGATTCATGCTTCAGATGAGGAGCTGAAATGTATTTTAGAAATAAAGAGATCAGTAAGAAGTTCCCGGAATTCTGAAGTAATAAAAGTGTAACATGCACACTTATAGTGCATATTCATAGTACAAGGTGCAGAGTAACAAAATAAACAGCAGATGTGATGGGTAGAGGACAAACACAGTTGGCAGGATCATCCAGTTATCCAGAAAAACATCACTTCTTGGTTTTAAAAGAAGTTTAAGTGAAAATTAGGAAATAAAGCCTCACCAGGAGCACCTGCCCTCAGAGAGGGTCTGGTCTGGGTGTGGGAGATTGCAGCAGGACTGGCTGAGGGCATTCTGTAGGGAAGAAATTGCTCCCTGTGAGCGTGCGGAGGCCCTGGAACAGGATTTCCATGGAAGCTGTTGCTGCCCCTGCATCCCTGGAAGTGTCCAAGGCCAGGCTGGACCGAGCATGGAGCCACCTGGGATAGTGGAAAATGTATTTTGGGTTCAGGTGCAGATTTCCAAGAGCACCCAGGGCCAGGGGCTCTGTCTCAGCAGCACTGAGGGAATCCTGCTGGGATCCTCCCCTTTTCCCTGGTGCAGGGCAGGACAGCAGAGATAAAATGCAGATTTGGGTGTGCTGGGAGGTGGTGTGACCATTGAACAGAAAGTTTCACAATCCTGGTGCCTGGTGAGTGCTTCCCTGGAAAGGAAAGTTCAGCCCCTGCCAGTGGGACAGACCTGGAGATGGGGATTCATTCCCAGCCCTTTTCTTTTCAGCTGTTGTGGGAACAGAACAGTCTCTTCTTTCTGGAGTGATTCATATGTGAGTACACTTGTGCTCCTGAGATGGTGCCAAATATCCTTTTTTGCCCTCTGGAATCTCTACAACAACTTCCAAACTCGGATTTTAAATTAATTCCTAATAGAAACAAAGAATTTTGCAGTGGGAGCAGCTCTCCTTGTATGACCAATAACACACTTGCAATATATTTATTTTTTTGGGGGGCTCCGTTTGTCCTGGCATTACCAAATGTCACTCCCAGCAGTGGCTGCCTGCACCAGAGGCATCCTGGGCAGAAAGTGCCAGATTTTGGCAGCTGCTCAGGAGGGATTTCCAGGGCTCTTGGCACCCTCTTATGGCCGATGTGCAGGGACAGCACCAGCACTGGAGCTTTCCTGAGGGCAGGAGCAAAGGGAACGGGATTCTGCCTTAAAGGGGAGTCACAGATGAAGTGTAAAGTGGTTTTACTCCATTTGCTGCCCGGGATTTCAGGCTGGGTGTCTTGACTGAGCACT